TGGCATTTACTCATCGGATATTTTCCGGGGATGTCATGACCTTGAGGTGATGGAGAATTTACGTCACTGCGTGTGTTTTGGAGGTGAGATGTGCGGGGAGATGTGTGTTTTGGAGGGATGCCAATTTTGTTTTTCAATATACAGTTTAGTATACTTAAGGTTTTTATAAGTATAAACTAAGTTCCAATGTTAAGAGTTTTTTAGAGCCCCTTTCTCGCCCAACATCCTCCTTCACCCGTATCGTATGATTTTTGTCGGAGATCTACATAGTTAGTTCATCCACAACTACATTTGCTTGAATTTTTTTTTGCTCATCAAGATTTACATGATAGACCATATTCAATTTCGCCACAAAACTTATATGCTTTTTTTGTTTACAAGTCTGATTAATATAAAAGTTTTAGGATATAATTTTGTAAGTTATTCAATTATATGAGTTCAACCCAGCTCATATATTTTATGGTGAACGAAAATATTTAAAACCTTTAACAGATTTCATCATATTACATACATATTTGAATTTCCTCATAATATTTTCTAAAAGAATGATACTTTTAATATGAATTTTATTAAACATATATGTATACATATATGTATACATATATGTTTAATAAAATTCATATAAATACATATCATATTTGTGTACATATGTATATATATGTATGTTAATTTATTAACTATAATGTTATCACAAATTTCTACACAAATATATTTTTTATAAGAATTAATTCAAGGGTATTTTCCTTATTATCTTTTCGAGTACGTTATATCTTATACTAATTTACCTACTTATTTCATTTTATATTTTTAAAATCAAATTTATTACAATATTTATAAAATCGGAAAAACATTAGAATTTTCAACTGTGTATGTGTTTAATAATGAGTGTAATCACCGACGGAGCATTTTAAAAATTATTCTCGGAAATAATCTCAGTAAAATAATTATTTATGTGTAATATACTCGCAAATATTCTCAAAAAAAAAAATTTATAATTCCCGACGGCGATTCTCGGAAAATTCAAAATCAAATTGTTATAAAATAAGATTTTTTTTTAAAAATATACTACATACTAGTTCTATATATTTTCTGAGTAAAGTTCGACACTACTCTAAGAATTAAAGTTACGAAATATTGTAGAAAATTAAAGTTGAAGTTATATACATATAAAGTACATATGTGCATATTTATAATTATGTACACATATTATTTTGTATTGTATCTTATATTGTATGTATTTAATGTGTTATATACCCAAATTTTATTTTATATAAAATAAAATTTTTAAAAATATTGATTTTTAATTTTTGGTGTTTTTCAAGATCATTACAATATTCCCATTTATCAGCTGTTTTACAGTTTTTGCTTTGTTTTTGTTCTACTCTTCTTCTTTAATAAATATATTTTGTTGTGATGAATATACACATATACATTCTCTTTTAATATATAGAATTTCTCTTTTAAATCTATCACATATCATACACAGTTTATTAGATAAAATTTCAATTCCATTCCATTCATATATTCATTCATATGTTTTCTTTTTTTTTTCTTCTATGTTATTCACCTTCTTCTCCCTTACTGATTCTTCCACCTTTCCCAAAATACTATATTTCTTTAATCCGTTCTCCCCTTTCCTATCTGTTTGTATTTCTCAATTATATTTTTTTCCTCTTCCTTATATAAAAAAAAAAAAAAACATATGTGAAACTTGCGTACAAAAAGTGTATAAAAGTTGGATAAAAAACAAGAAACAAACAAAAATCTAATTAAAACTTAGAGAAAATTCAAAAATATAAAAGTTTCCATACATATATATCATACGCATATCCTGTATATATTTTAGAAACAATAATATGTTACATGATATATGAATATGTATGCACGTTCATATACAATAATGATACAAATAATATAAACGAGTATAAACAAGAAATGATGTAGGTACTGTGAGATAAAGATGGGCATAAAATTGAGGAAACGAAAGACGGACTACATATACTATATGAAGATGCAACGAGATGTGTGAAATAAGAAAAATTATAATTGCATGAAGATGCGATGCAAATATAATGTGTCATGAAAAATAAATGTATGAACGTCGAAATATACATGCACGTAGGGAATGAGAATAAAAAATGTATATATGCGGGTATAAAATATATATGTATGTGCGAGAAATGGGTTAAATTCTAATGTTAAAAAAGTCTTTAGAGCTTTCCCCTCTCACGCCCCGTTCTTATTCATCTTTGTCAAATGATTTTTATTCGACAACTTTATAGTTCATCTAGAACTTTATGTGAATTTGAAAGAGGGCAAGGAAAATATGTACGTTATACACGATAAAATATGTCTGAGAGAAAAATGAAACATGAAGGCCGAAGAATAACTTGCGAAATAATAATATACACGTTGTATACACGAGACGGAATCGCAAGATTTTACGAAGGGGGAGAGGAAATGTAAATATAAGAAGAAATTTAAAAATAAAAATGTTTTAAAATTATAGAATATTTCCGTTATATTCGATTAATTATAAATTATAAATATTTCCGTTATATTTTTTGATTGGAACCGTAGAAGATTTTTTCTATTGTTTTTTTTAAGAAGTTGTTGACGAAACTACTAATGTAAGATAAAAATTAGCAGATCATTTTTCACATTTTAGTTAAACTAAATGACCTTTTGCTATTGAAAAAAAAACAAAAAAAAAAAAGATAGATACCAGCTTGAGAGACTAAGATAAACTAAATTTCCAAAATAAAAATTCAAAAAATAATCCTTTTTTTACCTTTTAAATATATCCTCTTTGAAGCAAGTAATAAATTAGCGACGAATAGAAAATTCAAAAAATTTAGTACCCCTTTAAAGAAATTTCCCTTTTTTTACATAATATGAGTAAAATTAAATTTCCCATTTTATGTGCTCTCTTTATTTTTTCTTTTCAATTCAACTCCAATGCTAATATAAGCAAAAATTTCATTTTAGGTATATTTTAAAACTTAAAAAAATCCCAATTTTAAAATACCCAAAATACCAAAAAAATATATTGACGAAATTATAACATTATTTTTAATATTTAAGGAATTTTCTCCTTGTTTATTTTAATACTGTTCCCCGTTACATGTTCAATAACGCAGTGAATTTATGAAGAATGAAATTTGAAAATTATCCTTTTTTAAGGGAAATTTTTATTTTAAATTCAAAAATTTCCTTTTTCTATTTTTCATAACGGTAAAAATATGAAAATTGCACTTGTTTATTATATTCATTTCACAAACGAAAATTTTAATAAAAATAAAAGAAAAAAAAATTCCCAAAATAAAATTTTCCAAAAGAAAATTCAAAAAGGAGAATAGACAATAAAACGAGATTTTTTTAGTTTTATATTTAGGAAATTTTTGTTTTAAGTTGGAAAATTCAAAAAATTTGTTCAATTTTATTTTTGATCAGAAATTAATAATTTTAAGTTTTTATATTAATTTTTCATGTTAAATTTTTAAATTTAAGTTTTTAAGTGAAATAATGAAAAAGGAAAGAATGAGTTCAAAAGAGTACAATATTTTTAAAATTTAAGCTTAAAAACGCAGCCTTAAAATTTCATTGTAATTACTTAAATTTTGTTTACATTAATGAACGGGTAATTCATATTTTATTTATATTCTGTCAAAACAGTGTATATTTTGACATTCGCATATAATTTTGTAACGTATAGAAAACTTATAGAATATATATAGAAGAGAATCGGCATAAATTCTTTCAAAAATTATATTGTTAACAGAAAATTGACAGCTCTGTAAATTCCTCCTGTCAATTTAATAATTTCGTAATTCTTCAGCCACGATTTATGCCAATTACTGTTAATAAATTATTTAGAATATATTTTTATAACATTTCATTTATATTATATATGTATATAATATATATTTTAACAAAATATGATATATACATATATATAAAAGTTTTCGCACACATTATAATTTAAAATTTATTTCTATTTATATAATTGTTAAAATTAATTTTAAAGTCAGACTTCGATATTTTATCACGACTTTTGTATTTTTTTTTTCTTATTTTGTACTTTTATATTGTTATATATAATTGTATAAATTATTTAAAAAGAGTTTTTGTTTTGTTCCTACTTATATAACAGAAAAATGTAGAAATTATCAAATTTTAATGAAAAACTTTCTTTTATAAATCATTGTCGTTCGATTAGATAATGAAATAAGACGCAACGGTACATTTAGTGATAAATAGTACCCTTTAAAGGTACCATAACAGCATAGTATCCTTTAAAGGTACCGTAACTGGATAGTACCCTTTAAAGGTGCCTTAACATTACATAAGAGGTCTTTTCATAAACGCATTATATCGCGCCACGATATATAGTACGAAAACTGTGCTACTAGAATATTGCAAATCAAGTGTATTCATAAACATGACTAAATTTTCGTAACCTGACGAAATTAGTAAATTGTAGCACAGTTAAATCATATATAAACTATGTTTTGATTTTATATACTTAAAAATATATTTGCATATATTCCATTATGTATTGCGCATTTATTGTTTTGCAGTAGTGCGTTTATGATAATATCTAATATAATTACTGTATGTATTGCATTTACGTTAGTTATATGACTACTTTTAAGATTGTTTTGAATTTACATAAATTCTATTACATTTTACGATTAGCTCTTGTCATAGAATAATAAGGAATAACAAATGTTAATTGCCGAATTTCAAAAAGTTTTAAATTTATTTAAATTGAATAATAAATTCATTTAAATTTGAATATTTTAATCATTTAATATTATTTGAAACTGATTTTCATTAAATTATTGTTATTCTTAATTTTTCAATTATTCTGAATAATCATAATTATATACTCACTACTAAAATATTTAAAATTAATATTAAACTTATAAAATATAAATAAATATTATTTTAAAATTATATACTCATATATATATGCATAAATGTTAATTACAACTCACCTGAACCTCATTTGTAAATTTATCATTATTATTATATTTTGGATCTCTTGATGTTGGTGAATTTGGGTTTTCTTCACTATTAACACCAATTTGTGATGGTGTTATACTTTGTGGCGGATGATGTGATGATGAATTTGTATTATTATTATTTCCATTATTTGAATTATTACAATTTGTCTCAGAATTATTTAAATTTTCATTATTATTATTATTATTGCTATCGTTATTATGTTGTTGTTGTTGTTGTTGTAAATTATAATGCTGTTGTAAAGTTTGATTTGTTTGATTAATTAATTGATGTTGTTGTTGCTGTTGTTGTGATATATTTTGATTTTGTTGATGATGTTGACGATTTGTAATATGATGAAATATTGTATGATGATCAATGTTATTATTTCTAATATCATTATTATCATTTATTTCATTATTATTTCTTATATCAATATTATTACTATCACTATTATTATTTATTATTTCATTATTATTATTATCGCTATTATTAGTATCATTATTATTTATTTTAATATTACTATTATCATTTGAATAATTATTGTTATCTTGATTTATTATTGAACTACTACTACTACCCGTTGTTGTTAATGTTGTTGTTGTTGTTGTTGAAGTTGTTGTTATATTATTATTATTATTATTATTTGTTGATTCAATTGTTATTAATGATGTTTCTTGAGATTGTATATTATTATTATTATTATTAGTATTATTATTAGTATTATTATTGTTATGTAATTGATGATGTAGTTGATGATGTAATGCTGATTGTGCTAATATACTAGCTGATGCTGCTGCAGCTGCAACAGCTGCATTATTAATTAAATTTGTATTTGTATGATGATGATGTATATAATTTGATTGTTGTTCATATTTATTACAATTATCTTTGCTATTATTATTATTATTAGTATTACTTGTATTATCAAAATTTTTAAAATTATTTGATAATAATGAAGATGATGAAGATGATGCTGATGGTGCTGCTACTACTGGTGCTATTATATTTGTTGTTGCTGATGATGTATTATTACTATTATTAATAATATTATCATTAATTGGAACAATATTTGCAATAGGTGGTACTGACAATATTGGATGATTTGTTAATATTGTTGTTGATGAACCAATTGATGATGGTGGTCCACGAGATTGTTGCCAAAATTCTGGATTCATTTTTATTATTAAATTGTTATCGTTATTCTTATTGTTATTATTATTATTATTATTGCTATTATTATTATTATTATTATTATTATTATTATTATTATTATTATTATTATTATTGTTGTTATTACTACTATTATTACTATTGCTATTATTATTGTTATTATTGCTATTATAATTGTTATAAATATTAGAATTTTTTATCCCTGTTGTCATTGGATAATTAAAATTACTTATTATTGTTGATTTTTGAATATATGATGATAATTTATTTTCGATAGATGATTGTAATTCTTTTTTTAATTGTTGTTGTTGATATTCTTTTTGTTCTTGTTGTGCTGGTTGCTCAATTTTAGGTTTTTGTTGAAATTGTTGTTGTTGTTGTTGATAATTATTAAATATAATGTGATTATTTTGAATTATATTCTTTTGATTTATAATCTTTTTTAAATTATTATTATAATGATGATGATGATGATGATGGTGATAATAATAATGATGATGATGTTGATGATAATGATTATTATAATACTGTTGTTGATTATTATTGTTATAATAAATTTGATTTAAATTATTTTTTTTATTATTATAATCTTTTTGTTGTTGTTGTTGTTGTTGTTCTTGATTATTACTGTTGTTATTATTATAATTACATTGATTATTTGCCCAATATGATGATGGTGAAGATGATAATACTGATGGTGAAATTAATGATGATCTTATAATTTTTGATGTTGTTTTTATTAATGGTACATCAGTTAATTTTATTGTTGTTGTTGTTGTTGTTGTTGATGCTGTTATATCTTTAGTTAAATTATTTTGTAATTTAAATAATTTTGATGATATTAATTGATTTTCTTGTTGTTGTGGTTCTTGATATTCTTCTTGTTGCTGTTGTAATTGTTGATATACTATTTGCTGTTGTTTTTTTTGCTGTATTATCGTATTACCTTTTAAATCTAATATATTAGAATTTATATTATTGTTAATTTCTTTTATTTCATTATGATTTTTTATGTTTTTTATAATATCATTATCATTTAATTTAAATAAATTATTTAGATTATTATGAATATTATTATTGTTATTATAACAACTATTGTTATAATTGTTAGTTAAATTTGTTTTTTGTTGTTGATGAAAAGATTGACTAGATGATAACCAATTTACTACGAAATTATCTTGATCCACTATTATTTTCTTTTGTTCTTGTTCTTGCTTCTTTATTTATTTATTTATTTATAGTTGTCTTTTATATATTTTGATTTTTTCAGATAAATTTTTTTTTGTTTAATTCAACGTTTGGATTAAAATATAATTAAATAATTTTTATATTATGAGAGAGTCTTTGTGTTTTAATATTATTTTATTTTTTAATATTTTTTAAGCTTAATTATTTTATTTCCAGGTACCTATCGTTTTTATTTCAATTTTTATTTATATATTTTTATTAATTAATTAATTTTTCTCTTAATTTACTTTTACTCTTAATTATATATATTTATACGTATTTTGTCTCTTAGTTACGTTCCTTTTTCATTAAATATTTAAAAATATTAATTGTTTAAGAAATTTTTGTTAATAAAATTAATTGAATTGAATTAAAAAAAAAAACATTGAAATGTAAGTAATTAAATAAAATATTATAATTGAAAAAAATTAATTTAAAAAATTTTAACGTCACAAATATCGAAAATGAACTCTGAATTTGAAGAAACACGTGTTGCAGATTTCATGTGCACAGAAGAATTTCTCAGAAATTGAATAAAAAAATTGAAAATTTTTTTATGAAGAGGATAAGAAATCAAATTATTCGATTATTTCTGCTACTAATATATATTTAATAAAATTATATTAAATACATCATCATTTCGAATACTATGTTCAAATATAGTTAATTGCTTTATCACTTAACGAAATGCATGTTTGCAAAAATTACAGAACGCAGCGGAATGTGTATTATATTTTTAATGCAGCGCAGATAAACGTCAATTTATGTATATGTTTCCTTACAGACATACTTTAAAAAATGGCTGAATATAAAGGAATCAGTTTAGGTTAAATAATATGAACCATTAAGATTTGACGACTAGTTCTCTGAACACAGTTGTACTAATTTTTAAAATGATGTTTATGATGAAATTAAATTAAAAATAAATTTCATTTTTAAGAATTTCTCTTATGCTTTGAGAAATTTACGCTACTTTGAGAATACGACAATAAATAAACATTAAAAATGCAAGAGAATGCAATATAAAAAAATTATGGATTACATAAAATATTGTCGATATTATCGGATTTTCCAGAAGATATAATATATTAATTCGGAAATTTGTATGGTTTAAAAACATTCAACATTATTGTTTACGAACTTTGTTTAATAAGGATTCTATATACTTCTATGGTGTCGTATTTTATGCTACATATATCAAACGAAGTTCAAGGATCATTTGATTGTTTATATGATTGTTGAATATTTCAACCATATAACTAAATAACCATTCATATTTTGAACCTGAAATTGTTTGTTTTACAAAAATAAAAGAACAAAAGTTGGTATTAAAAAATTTGCCACAAAAAATAAATAAATCTGATGTAATCATTACCACTCCCATAAGTCTATACCGAAATTTTATTTTTTTTTTTGAGTTTTTTTATTCAACTAGCCTAAATGATTTTTCGGGGTGGTGTCTATCTAAATGGTACTCTTGGGTAAGCCGTGTCTCTATAACTTAACCTATTTTATATTAAAATATTTTATAATAATTTGTATGCAAATTCAATTAAAATCTACCTAACGTGTTGTTTTTTTGCGCTATTTTGCACTACAAAATTTAAAAAATAAAATTTAATAGGGTTATTCTAAATGGAAATTTTTTGCATTACGAATCTTTGCAAAAACCATTAGCATGGTATATAATATAAATATTTTTTGAGCTCAGGAAAACGCAAAAGAAAATTTAAGGAGCTTGTATCTGAATAGATGCGGTATAAAAAAAGTTTTATACCCACAAAATATTTCAATTTTAAAATGAACTGTTAAAGATTCTACTTTATTTCATCTATTTCCGTTTAAATGTAAGACAAAATTTACCTAGAAGTATGCAATTTATTGTGTTTATATAATATGTACGAACGTATGCTCGAAGGGTATATTAAATTTGTTTTATTGTTTGTAACGCTAAGAAGTTGATCTGATATATAAACTCAAGAATATGTTTTGGTCTGTGTCGAGGTTTTAGTCGATTTACCCTTGTCTGTCCGTTTGTTTGTTCGTTCGTTCGTCCCAAGATAACTCAAAAACTAATTGAGCTTAGTTCCCGAATTTTTCACAAATGATTTATTATAGTAAATGTCAGAACACTATTTAAATTGATTATGAACGAGGTACTGATTCGGGTAACTGTCATACAACTTCAAAATTTATTTGGCTATATCTGGAAAATTATAGAAGCTATAGTATTGGAATTTCACAAAAGCGAATATATTATTAGGGCTATTTGATAAAAGTCTTAGAAATTGCTTTGCTCCTTCTGGTAGCTGCCATATAATTTGAAAAGTTATTTAGCTCAATAAGTTTAAGTTTTTGAATTTCATTATTCAAAAAAGCAAATTTTTATATATAAGATTAGCTCGTTTTCAAGCTACAGCTTGTTGAAAAAAAAGTTACCAAATTCTTCCTCCATACAATTAAATGTTCATAACTTCGGAACCATGCGACATAGAGTGATAATCGAAAACTTGTTTTACAGATGATTGATTGCTTTATATTTTCAGTCATACAATCAATGATCAAACTGTATTTTTCCGATGTTTTTTGAACACATTTAACACGTTTAACTGACAAAACTAAACACGTTTAACTGGCAATGAGAGATAGAGGAAAATTTTATATAGATTAACTTTAAGATCTCATCGTAGCTCATCGACAAAAAAAAAAAAAAAAAAAAAAAAAAAAAAATTGGAAAAATTTCAAGTTTTGTAAAGAAAAATAAAAATTCTGATTTTGACGAGCTTTATTTCGAAAACTATGGCTGAAATGAATTTGATTGTAAGACCGAAAATAGAAAGCAATCAATCGCCTGTAAAACAATTAGATTATAAGCATTTAAGCACCTAGGTTATAAACATTTATTTATATGCAGAAAAAGTCCGGTACCTTTTTTTTTTCAAAGAGTTAATCAAAGAATCATCCCTGAAATTATTTGCCACCTTACTCTGTATATATATTCATATATGCAGTATAAATAGATATAACAAAAGTAAATAATGTTCTAATCTAGCAAAATTTGGCACTGGATTGGCATTTATATTTTTTGGTGCTTAATTTAGCACAATCTGTTATTATTCGGAGTAAATATCTTAAAACACTGATTATATAGAAAATTCATAAAAAAAAATTGCAAAACAAAAAATCAAAATACACACACGCACAGGTTATCCAATAAATTATTATCAATAATAACAATGAATTTCACATCTTCATATTTATATTTTTTTTTTCGAATTTATACATGCGATTTTATTTCGGTTTTAATTTTATAGGTATAGTTATTTTATATATTGAAAAAAAATTAAGTATTTTGATTATTAGAGTATTATTTCCACGTTTGTTAAGATGATTTATTTGTTTGAACTAAATTCAATATTTTTGAAACAAATTTGAATTTTTTATTTAATTCATTTTTTTTTATTTATGTCCATATATTGTTTATGTCCATGCCTTAAGTATTTTAAATTATTTGCTTAAAAAAAAAAATGAGAACGAACAGCAGTAGAAGAGGACATACAATAGAACTATAAAAAACGATAACTAAGTATATTAAACGATATTAAAATTAAAAAAAAAATAACAAGTAAAAACTACTTTTAATTTTTTTCTTTAAATTTTCTTTTGATTAAATAATTATTTTACTGCTTGCTACCCACTTTCGACGCCGACAAATTTTAAACTGAATTAAGACCGACTTGTAATGTCAAATATAAACACATTTTTTTAGTTCTTTTTTTAAAAAAACTCAACCGTTATATTATATATATAAAAATCCACGATATTTTATAAATAATAACAATAATGAAAAAAAAAAAATGAAGAAAAAAATTTCAAGAAATACAAAAAAAAACTAAAAACTAAAAAATTATAAGAAAATTTTTCTTTCTTACACTTTTATTATACGTTGTTGTCGTTGTCGTCGTCGTTTTCTTCTCTTATAAGAAAATATATAAAATAGTATAGCTACAAAAATAATATTAAGAATCTAAATATATATATATATATATGTATTTAAAAGAAATGGCAAGAAAATGGTAAGAAAATGGCAAGAAAAAAAGCATAACAAAAAGAAAAAGAAGAACGCAAAAATCCACACGTTAAAATAAAAAAAACAAAAAATTTTTTGTAAGAAAATAACGAGGAAGACAACACACAAACTAATAATGCAATAATACAACATACATACATAATTATAGATAGTAGAAACAACACTAAATAATTTTTTCTTCTTCTTATACGTATTATATATTTCTTGAGGTATATAAGAATTTAACGCTACACATATAGCAAAAATATGCAAATGATAAGAAATACAAGTGCTATACATGTAAGTACATAAATACACACATATATATGCACATAAAATGTTAACAATAATGTTTAATTTTGTGGCAATAGCAAATAGCAGCAACAGAAGCAGCAATAGTAACAGAAACTACGAGCAGCAACAAACCAACAACAGTAGAGCAGAACAACAGCAATATAGAAGGCCAACATTTAACAGAAATAAAATAATAAAACAAAAAATAAAAAATATAAACTTTAACTAATAAGAAAGAAGAAAAAATAACGCTAAGAAAAATTAATAAAGGAAAACGCTACCCACTAAAAAAAACGCACAAATTTTTCTTCGTTTGTTTTTCTTCTCTAATTTTCTTCATTTTCTTATTCTTAATTTTGCTTCCATTTTCTTTTTCTTACTTATATTCTATACAATTTTATGTGAATATACATATGTAAACACAAACATGCATACACAGAAATATAAAAATTATCTTCAATTCGAAAAGCAAAAAAAAAAAAAACGCAAATGTGTTGTGTAGTATAAGAACTCCATTATTTATGACAAGACAACGCACACACACATATACAGATACTGTTTGCCTTTCTATACATTATCTAATTTAATATGTAAAATATTTATTCGAAAAAAAAAAAAAAT